AAAAACTCTTACGTGCTTTCTGAAGATTCCAGCAACTAAAAGTGAAAGGCCTATATTCTGAGAGAAAAATGCACCAGAGGAGATCACAGCAGCTCTCAGTGTGGCCTGACCCCATTTAGCTGCAGCACTGACCCTCTCCCTGCCTTCCTCCACCAGCCAGGAGTCAGCGGTCCTCAAAATAAGGGTGTCAATGCCACCGCTCTTTACCAGAGGCCAGAGGGAGCAGGAAGGGCCGAGGGCCCCGCCGGTGGGTTGCAGGTAATGTGGTCCCTAGTCACTCATTCACCCTAAGTTTCCCAAACAACTCCCTCGTGCCAGGTGCCAGCATGGGAGACGGTGATGGACAGAGACAAGGTTCTTGCATCCATGGGGCTGCACTCCAGGGTTGCTGGTATATGAGGAACAACCAGTGAACAAGACATTTTCCCTTCCTGGAAGTTCTATGAAGGAAATAAAACAGCAACAAGCCACAGAGCATTCCCGATCCCTGCACTCCATCTCTAACCTCCACTTTGAATAAGGCAGATTTTCACTGTCCAGCCATTTTTAAGTTGTTTGATTTGTTAACAAGTATTTTTATAATCAGGAAAAACACTGAAGTTTTTTGTCAAGCTGGCTGATCTGGGTCATTCCTAGAACTGTAATGACCAAGGACTTAGGCACTATAGCCACATGTCGCACACACGCAGGGCTGCCCGAGGCAACAGCCTTCCCAGGCTGGGATTGCGAGCAGATGGAGCAGACACACCACGGTGCAGAGGCTCAAATGCCCGTCCCACCCCCGTGTCTGCGAGCACCTCAGGGAGCCCTCAGGGTGCAAGCGTATCCATCCTTCCAATTTTCAAGTGGAAAACAAACTAAGCACCCTATTAAGCACACAAATCTAATTGTTAATTGAAAGGAAAATTAGTATGACCACTGTAACTGAATCAGGGCCACAGATCATTCCAGATACAAGTGAATTACCAGACAATGGGCCCTTTCTCTAGACGTTTCTGCCTTTCAATAGCCCTTTCTTTACGAAAAAATTTATATATATTTATTCAAAAGTTATACGTACCGTTTTTAATTTAAAATGCAATGGATTAGAATTATTTATATTTTTGTTGTGTATTTATTTTGATTCTGTTTTCCAGCTTTTTATTGGGAAAGATTTCAAACCTGCGGGATTGTCACGAGAATTAGATAATGCACACCTTCTGCTTTCATGAGGTTAGTCTGCTGGTTGCCACTTGGCCCCACCCCAGCCCTCGGCCTTACCCTATCCGAGCATGCTTGCCTCACCTCAACCCCCATCTTTCCTGTAGGGGATGGGCTGGCAATGGAGGCTGGCCCAGAGCAGAGCCAGGCTCAGGGCAGCGTAAGGATGTTGCTTCATACACTGGCTGGCAATAAATGGCATTCCTCTTCAGGCAGTACCAAAATGTCCCAGTATCATACAGCGCCCTGTGGAGGGAGGATCGGGTGGACGACCAGCCTACCCGAGCTCACCCCCAGGCAGAATCCCAAAACCTCCACACCCTCAGACAGAGCACATCGTGGGCAAGCTGGTCTCCACTTGCTGTGCTCAGGCCAGGATCAACACCATACTCTCCCAAACGTGTGTGTCTGTCTCTCTCTCCCTCTCTCTCTCTCTCTCTCTCTCTCTCTCACACACACACACACACACACTCCCAGCTTGGCAGGGAGTCCTGAGGTTACCCTACGCGTGGCCAGCCCATCTGCTTGCAGCCAAAGCCTAGACGGAGAAGGGAGGTCCCAGCAGACTCAGAAGGGCAGGCAAATGCTTCAGTGCCTTGTCCACGTGGTTCCAGCCTTTTTACTTAATGCACCCAAATGTTAAGCACACTTGAAGGGCAGCCACTTTAGCTTCCATGATTGATAGCAAGCCCCAGGTTGATTGCAGCTTCTGGTGGCTGGGGAGCAAAAACTAGCATTGCAAGTGGATAGACGCTGTGGATGCATCGCTCCTGGAAGGATTCAGGCAGTACACTGCGCTGGCCTTGCCCACAGTGACCGGCTCTGCTTTCCCAGAGACAGCACACACAGGAGGTAAGAGGTCAAGGCCCATGAAACCCTACTGAACGATGTAGCAACACTTGTTGCAAAGAATCAGTAAGGAAATCAGTTTGGAAAGGGAGCCAAAGTGTGGCACAGACGATTCAGTGCTTGACCTGGAAGGACACACATCACTTCTGTTCCCATCTAATGGGCCAAAACCAGTCACATGACTTGACCCACTCATGAGAGGCCCAGAAGCACAACCCTAGCACATGTCCCATTTCTGTAACTTGTAAATAAGAAAACAGCTCAGCGATGAATGGTAATGACAATACTGTTAAAAATAAATTGTAATTACTGAGTACTCGCTATGTACTAGGCACTGTTCTGAGTGCTTTCTGTGCTGATCCCCACCACAGCCTCAGGTACAGTGACCGTTAGGACACTGGATCGGGAAATGTGGGCAATTTGCTTCCACCACTGCACTGTGTGAGCCCAGCATCACCAGGCCGGGGAAAGGGTGGCATTCGCACCCAGGCTCACACAAGCCCAGCTAGGACCCGCAGCACTTGAACTCTGGACGCTGGAAGCAAGCAACAAGGCTTTCTAGAAGAAGAGCTCCTCTGTCTCTTGGCCCTTGCTCGTGCCCTGACAAATCAGGCCTGGCCAACTGCAAACCTGGCAAGCAGCTCATCCTGGAGTTTGAAGAAGCACAGCTTCTCTTATCTTAATTAGGAAATGAATTCCATTCAGCCTAGATTGATCTGTGGCCAGCTTCTCCTTGGGCACCTGACAGGAGCAGGCAGAAAATGAGCGAGGCTTTTGGTTTCCATGCTATCCCTGCATCCTACTCTGACAGATCGACTGACAGTGGGAGGTGTCTTCTTGGCAGACAGGTGGGTGGGGAGTGACACCAGGCCAGTGTGCTTTCCCCCTTAGGCAGCAGGAGATATTCTTCCAGAACCTGCTCAGGACCCGCCCCTTCTGGGAGGAGCCATCCAACTGGTCTTGCAGGGAAATCTGCTAAACTGCTGGGGTCCCTTCAATCCCTCTTGCTCCTGGGAGATATTTGTCCATCTCTCTTCTCAGAGGTGGCCTTGGGCTCTATGCCCAGGAGAAACCGTACAGGCCAGGTCCCATCTATTCTGGGGTGCAGAGGGGGGTTACCCTAACTGCTCCTACATCTGCTTCCCAGTTCCCCACCCAGGACCAGCCAGAGCAACCTTGGGAAATGAGTCACCCACAACCCACCTTCCTTTCCGCCCAGTTTGGCTCTTCCTTGACACAGTCCTCTGGCTTCACCAGCCCCTCACCCACGGGTACACCAGTGCCTGTAGGTCCTTCGCATGCGGGCCCCAGACACTGTGGGCAGAAGCAAATTACTCACCAAGAAAGGACAAGAAACTGGGAGCTGGCCTACTGCACCCCTGTCGTTCTACAGGTGGAAAAAAATAGGGCCTAGAGAGGGACAGTGACTTGCTCAAAGCCCCACAGCACATCAGAGGCAGACCTGGAACTAGAATTCTAGGCTCTTGACTTCTGATTCATCCCCTCTGTACTCTGTTGGCTGCTTCTCAAACTTTTCCTGGCCACAAGGGTTAAGGCAATAATGCAAGCCTTATAAAACTACTTAACACCAGAGATTGCAAGAACTTTTGAGATTTTACAGCAAAACATTTGCTAGAAGCATTGTACAGAACAGCATCCACCCATTTAACAGAACAGCAAATAGAAGCCCCAAAAGGTAAGGGGACCTACATGAAGTCATAAGCCAGGTACAGGCAGAGAAGGACTCCCAGACCCCCACTGAAGTGCTCTCTCTGCCACGGGTTCCAGGTATGAGGGTTCCAACTATGGGACTGTGAAGAGGTGGACTTGGGCCTTGGGCCTCACATTGAAACAGGTATGGCCTAGAAAGTCTTGTCCAGACTCTGTACACAACCCAGGGGTGCAGAAGACCACTGTGAAGGGAGTGGGGGAAGAATAACTGGGAAGATATTTATGTATCTGCAGGAAATACAGTGAAATTTCCCAACCAAACAGGGTTTCTGAGACCACAGAGCTGGCACTTTTACCAAGAGGTCAATGAACCACAAATGCCTACCCATTTTCATCAGAAAGGCACTGACAGGGCTTGGAAGGAAAGGTTTAGCAGTGAGAAAGGACAGAGTCTATTGGCACCAAAGCAACAGTGGGTGGAGGTGGCTGAGGCCCCAGGAGAGGGCTTATCAGACACACAGGTGCATCTGAACCCATGTCCAGTTCTCTAGCCCATGCTCTTTCCCCTGACCTTGTGCTGAACAGAGCCCTTCCATCCCCATCACACAGCACCCCCTCCCAGCTCCTAGCAGCTGAAGGACCTGGAGTGGGTCTGGCAAGGTGAGTGCCTGAAGGTGACAGGTATCAGCTTTAGCTACCTTTAGACTAGGATGGGGGCACTGCTGCTCTGGGGCCTGGGGTCCAGGAAAGGGTTGGAACCTGCTGTGGACAATGGGCTGACTTCCCTCACCTGGGGACAGACCCAGATTAATAAGGGGAAAGTCCTGCTGGGATGCTGGGGATTCGCACGTTCTCCCTGCCCCGTTGTCCCAACTAAATGTTTTCTGGCTGGGAAAACGCTTCAAAAGCCCCAGCTAAGGCAATTCAATTATGAAATTTACCACAGTAGATGAAAACCAGCATCTCAATCAGCCATTTGATTTGCTTGTGTCTGGCTACTGTTTTCTCCTGCCAGCCCAGCCAGCCCCCTCCCTGGCCAGGCCACCCCCACACTGGGGACTGGTCGAGAGGGATTAAGGGCTCAGGCAATGGGCTGGGCTTTGGGGCCCGTGGGGTTGGTTTTCCCAGGACCCCCTGAGCAGAAAGGCTGCATCCAGAAGCCATCCATCTTCCCGGGGACTCCTGGGAATGCTGACTCCACAGGCCAGACCACCACAACGCCCAGGGGACCTTTCCATCGCCCCCTGTGTGAATTCTCCCCAACCTCAACCTGCACCCACCTTACGGACAGCAATGAATTGGTCTCTGGGAGAAGTCAGAGTGGGTGGTGGAAGAAAGCAGCCACCCAGGGCCAGGAATATGGGCTCTGACGTGCCTTCCTCATCTTCACCTAATCAAGGCATCCTCTCTTGAGGAATCTACTCCTACGTGTGCCCCTCAGCTCCCCGTGTTGCCTTTATCACTGAGGAGCTATACACACCTCCATGTGCCAGGGCCCCTAATCCGCAGGCCAGCAGACCCTCACCCAGGAGCTCCCTGAAGGCCGGGTTCCAATCAGGACCCTTCAAACAATAAATGAACAAACAATCCATCCACTAAAAGACGCTCCCTCACGCATCACAGTGGTAAATGGGCAGAACCAAGCCTCTTTCACTGCAGGCCACACACTCCCAGGCCCGGGCAACCTTTTTTTCTTCCTGTTCCCCTCTCTCCGCACTGGGTTCCCACAGGTTTAAGATGCTATTAGGGGGCATGCGGAGTGTGCAGCTCGCCCACCGCTCCCCTCTCTGCACCACAGACAGATCCGGCCGCAGCCCGAGCCCCAGGGCGAAGGCTCTACCATCTCTACCTTCCTCTTCACAGCCTCCCTGAAGTCATTTCCTGACAAATGGAATCACTAGAGACTGAGCTGCGGGGCCTGAACGAAGGCTGATCCCTCAACCCCCACAGGCCCAGCTTGGGGACCCAAGGACACCCGCCGGGTCTTACTTAGGACACCAAGTCTGCCCCCACTGGGTGGACCTGTGTCCTACTTCTCCCCAGTCCCCAAGCGCTACCGTCACCAGTATCCCCTAGGAATCCTAACAGCTCACCACGGCCCACACGCATCAGTCCCACCTATGAAGGGGGGACTGAGGCCCAGGGTCCCAAAGGGCCTGACCCAGACCCACCCTGAGTCTGACACATGTAAGGAAGCGGGGCTCCTGCCTTTCCTCCCAGTGCCACTGACAACTTCCCTCCCTCTGCCCCACAGCTAGAGTGACACCTGAAGGCCCCAGACAGGTACCTGGCTTCTCTGCCCGGCTCACCAGGAAGGGCCTAAGCTCAGGGCGCCCTCACCCCGCTCCCAGCCACCCAAGCAGGACCCAGGAACATCCGAAGGGCACCGCAGGGGCCTGGGCCGCCCCCACCCCAACCCTTCTGCTCGGTTCTGTACAAAGGCTTTTCTCCGCTCAAAGGTAAGGCAAATGAAAATGTGGGGGGTCCCAAAGCACGGCACAAAAGTGCGCCTGGGGGCGCGGTCTCCCAAAGGAAAAGCTTCTTGGAGCAGCCGCGAGGGTGGACGAGGAAGGGGGGCCGTGCCCCGCTGTGGGGGTCCTGCAGTCGCGGCGAGACGGGGGCAGGGCGGCGGGCGGCGGGCCTCG